ACACACACACACACACACACACACACACACACACACACACACATATATATAAATTGAATTTTGGGAAACTTTAATGGTGTTGCCAACTTTGGAAAAGGTCATCCCAATTTACTGTGTTGACTTGGCATTGTACAGAAACCATATTGGTCTAGAAATGTTAATTTATTATTTTTTTTCCATGTGTACAGGGGGAAACTAATAAAGTATTCTCTAAATAATGAAAAAAAGAATAACATAAGACTATAAGAGCGAGAAGCAATTTAAATATGTTCAGGAACCATTTTCATCTCCAGAATTAAGGATTATTTTGATGTTACATCATTGCCTTTTCTCTTTTACTTTCCTTTTCAGTTTTATTTTAGGATTCCCTATTTTTAATGTTCATACAGAGATTTCTTTAACTGAAATACCGAATAGTTTCTTTGGTGTGAAAAACTGTAATAGTACACAGGATCCTAATGAGATAATTAATAATGTGAAATAGGAAGTAAAGGGCTAAAGGTGTAAGGAAAGTGGGAAGGGTGGGGGAAAGGTAATAAGGGAGGGGGAAAAAGTATGAGAAACTGAAAAAATGGAAATAAAGTGTTTGTAAATGGGGAGGGGAGGAGGGGGTGAAGGGAGGGCAGGGACAAGGGGAAAAATGAGAATCAAGACCTATTATGTAAAGGTACAGAATCCCAATGATGAATGTAATTGTATTGTATACCTAGATTGTACCAATAACCTCAATAAAAAGAAAAAAAAATCGAAAAAAAACAACAAAAAAACCCCTACCAACTTTGGTATAATATCAAAGTACAAATCTGTATTATCTGAAAACATTGCTAAGATTTTCTTTTCTTTTCCAAATATGTATGAGTCCAGATTTTCTGTTCCTTTTTTTAGCAGTGCTAGGAACTGAACCTAAAGTCTCAAAAATACTAGGTAAGCACTCTACCTGAGCTACATTTCCAGTTCCAAATTCTAACGCTGTAACAGACTGAACAGAAGAATAAGAATCTTGCTATTAAGCCTGACCTTAAGGAGATTTGTGAAAATGTGTTAATGCCATTCTTCACTAAAAAGTGTGTATGGGGTGTGTGTGTTTGTAAATTTTGCATAAAAACTTTTAATGCTAACTAGTAAGTACTTAAATTTTTAAAACTTCACTTGTAATATTATTATATTACAAATATAATATAAATAGCACTAGCCAAAATCCTCATAAATAAAAGCTCTTCAGAGTATTCACTAACTTTACAGACTGTAAGATCTGAGAAACCAAAAACTGAAAACTCTTTGCTACAAAATGTACAGTCTCAACACAGGCAGTAGCACCTCAAGGGGGCAAACACTGATTCTCTGACAGAGGAAAGTACCAAAAACCCCTTACCTTTTATGTATAAAACCAGAAATACCTACAACATATAAACAGATATATAATATTATC